CATATTATTGTGTAACTGCAGGTTTTGTGAATACACCTTTTCAGTTGCACTTAGGCCTCGATAGCAAGTAAATTATTCTTTTGAATTTGACAAAYGAGACTATTCATATCAATGTTTGCATTGCTCACATTCCTACAAATTCAAAAGAATATTTAACACGCTGTCGAGGCCTAAGAGCAACTGAAAAGGTGTATTGTCACCTTTTGCATAAAAACACTAAAATGTCRTCTTAACAAACATTATGTAATTTAGAGATATGGCTTCAGCACTACCATCACCTTTATCAAGCCGTCACAAGACCAATTACACTCGAATATTCAGACTTTTAATTGACATTGGAACAAGAGTGTTGAAAGACSTGTTTGATTCATACCATTCGCCTGCTGATCTGCAAAAACACCTCAACTCGCCTGGTATACACAGTATACTGAAAACATTAAGAAGTAAAAGAGTCTTGAAAGCACAACAATGGGACAAGCTGTACCCACCAACACCAGGAGTGCCATCGTCGACGACCTTCGATATAACACTGCTCTTCCTTCTCCTAAGGAACACCTGTGGTCTGACTCCACCTACTTCAGGCTGGGATGCTGCCCCACTATCAACTGATGAAAGCATAGAGGCTGATCTGATTCGAGTGAGGCTTTGTCGAAATAACATCATTCATGATTATAGCGTAAAGGCAGAACTCTCTGATGCTGATTTTGAAACCCACTGTGTTGAAATTGAGGCAACACTTATAAGACTTGGAGGATTGCACTATGAACCCGAAATCCAGCGTCTCAAAATTGGGTCAATTGACCCAGAAGATGAAACATACCTAAATATTCTTCTTCAATCGTGGGAAGAAGGCGAAGAAAAGAAAATGGAAATCATCATCCAAAAACTAAACAAGATATCAAGAATGCAATTACCTTCTGAAAGTAAGTCTTACTGATGATAATCTTTTAAAACAGTGTTTAACATAAATTCTTGACATTTAAGTTTGAAATAAAAAAAGGATTTAGGATTTTGTTTCTATTTCCTTGTAACTACTAGCTACAGAAATTTGCAAACGTTGTGTTCAATGACATGTGTAAATTGAAATAACGCTAACAGATCGCAAATCATTCGAAAATTTTAAAATTATTGTTCTTTTAAAAACTTTATTCAAACATATCTTTAGATTTATGACAAATTAAGTGGTTAATATTGAAACAAAAACAACCCTGTGAAGTATCTTGATGTACTTATATAAAAAAAATTATTTGACTGTCTTTTGTATTCAGTTTGTTATAATAAAAATAATTATAAAACTCATTAATATTCATAAGGCAAAACACAATAGAAATCATAGCCCATGAAGAGAGTTGTATATTACATACAGATTTCTTGTTCATTTGCATAAACTTTTACTCTGATTTTCTCAGTCAGATTGAATTTTTTTTCAAAAGTTTCTTTAAAACCTGAGCTAATTTACCTTAACGTTTCATAAGTAATATACAATATTCGCGTGCGATCTGTATGAGGATTTAAAACAGCTCGCTTTCAGCTCGCTGTTTTAAATCCTCATACAGATCGCCCGCTCATATTGTATATATTACATACACCAATTGAAAATTCCACGACAGTGAAACCACAAACTATTCATGTTTTGAACTTCTTCCTCTTACGATTTTTCAAAAAACAAGTTACAAAACAGTTTTTTAATTTGTTTTACAGATGAAAGTCTGCCACAGTTTTGTATGTTGCCTCAGAAACCATCTCATCAAACTATCAACCGTACCAATGAAGTAACAGAGATAATGTCCAACATACAGCAMCTTAAAGCAATGTTTCCACATGAAATCACCATTACGTATTTGTCTGGAAATCCTGGTTGTGGTAAAAGTGAGCTTGCGAGGCAGATTGGAAAGAAATATTTTGAAAATGTTGACGAATCAGCCAAGTGCGTATCGACGCTGAACGCATCTAATCTTGAAAGCTTAACTCTATCATATATCGTCCTGGCAAGAAACCTTCGATGCAGCGAAGAATCCATAGCATCAATCAATACCATCACCTCTCAAGAACACAAACTCGCTCAACTACGAGGAAATGTCTCCATACAACTGCACAGCTACTCCTCCTGGCTGATGATTGTAGACAATGTKGAAGATCTTCAGCTAGTCTCAAGGTTTCTCCCTCATACAGGCGAAAATCTGCAACACAGTAAAGGTCATATCCTAATAACAACGCAAGACAGCCCGTCCATACCACTGCGTGATCCACATGCACATCAAATGCCCTTAAGCCGTGGTATGGAACCTAAGGACGCAGTGCAATCATTGCTTGCAATTTTTGAATGTTTTGACAAAGACGAAACTATGAATGCTGTTGCTAAGCAGCTTGATTTCCAGCCTTTAGCTCTCGCTTGTGCAGCAGTATACGTCCAGGAAGTCCGTATTGCAGATCCTACAATGACATGGGAAAAATACCTTCAGCACATCCAAAAAAGCAATATTGAATCAACTGAAAGAATGTATGAGGAAATCAACAACTCGTATAAAAAGTCGATGACAACAGCTGTAAAGATGGCAGTTCAAAATGTCATAGAGAGAAGTCCAGTAATGCTCCATGCTTTTGAATTCTTGGCTGCTTTGGCTCCAGAGTTCATATCGTTAGATGATGTTGTAAGTTATGTGATGAAATGTATGCCTAACGAAGTCGACAAAAATTTAATGGCAAGAAAGATAATGAAGTCGTCGCTCGTCCTTACGTCTGAGGATAAAGTTGAACCAATGATTCGTGTCCATCAAGTTGTTTTCAACGTTCTTCAATCAGTGATCCAAGAATTACACAGCGATGAAGAAGACGAATTGTCGTATTTAACAAAAGTGATCGAAGTTTTTTCATATCTTGACAAAATGGATAAAAACAGCATTGATTACATCAAATGTACAGGCAAACTTGTTGTGCACGTGGTAAGTTTGTCTTACAAAGTAAAAATGTTTTTCGAGAGACGCGAAATTTTGCTTTCGACAGAAAAGGACAAGTATGGAGTACGCTACCAATTAAACAGAACAACTACGAGCCAGTATCTACAAGTAATGACACTATTGAGGAATCGTCTGTATGTAGTATTGAGAGAACAGAAAAAGCATCATATACTATGTAGAAATATCTTAGAAATAGGCATGACACTTACAATTACAAAATCTGACACTACGAAGAACGAGGTCGACACGAAAACTTCAGACGAGTACATGTACGATGACGACCAAATTAAAGAGCAACAAAGGTTCTTTAACGAATTAGGATGCACATTATATAACCTTGGTGAATACCGTGAAGCAAAGGAGTGTTATGAAAAATCTCTAGAAATGGCCAGGATGACCTACGGAAACACTCACACTGAAGTGGCTACAAGTTTACATAACTTAGGAACATTGCTGTTGGACCTAAACAAACTTGTAGAAGCCAAGGAATATTTAGAAAAAGCGAACGCTATCTTCAAAAGCATGTACGGAGAGAATCACCCTTCAGTCGCTACAAGTTTAAGTACTCTAGGATCAGCATTGAGTAATCTTGGAAGTTACAAAGAAGCAAAGGAGTATCACGAAAAAGCACTTGCCATCAAAAAAAGCACGTACGGAGACAATCACCCTCATGTGGCTACAAGTTTAAGTAATCTAGGATTAGCATTGAGTAATCTTGGAAGTTACAAAGAAGCAAAGGGGTGTCACGAAAAAGCACTTGTCATAAGAAAAAGCACGTATGGCAACAATCACTTGGAAGTGGCTACAAGTTTAAATAATCTAGGATCAGCATTGAGTAATCTTGGAAGTTACAAAGAAGCAAAGGAGTATCACGAAAAAGCACTTGCCATCAAAAAAAGCACGTACGGAGACAATCACCCTCATGTGGCTACAAGTTTAAGTAATCTAGGATTAGCATTGAGTAATCTTGGAAGTTACAAAGAAGCAAAGGGGTGTCACGAAAAAGCACTTGTCATAAGAAAAAGCACGTATGGCAACAATCACTTGGAAGTGGCTACAAGTTTAAATAATCTAGGATCAGCATTGAGTAATCTTGGAAGTTACAAAGAAGCAAAGGAGTATCACGAAAAAGCACTTGCCATCTACAAAAGCACGTACGGAGACAATCACCCTCATGTGGCTACAAGTTTAAGTNTCACCTCTCAAGAACAGAAACTCGCTCAACTACGAGGAAATGTCTCCATACAACTGCACAGTTACTCCTCCTGGCTGATGATTGTAGACAATGTGGAAGATCTTCAGCTAGTCTCAAGGTTTCTCCCTCATGCAGGAGAAAATCTGCAACACAGTAAAGGCCATATCCTAATAACAACGCAAGACAGCCCGTCCATACCACTGCGTGATCCACATGCACATCATATGCCCTTAAGCCGTGGTATGGAACCTAAGGACGCAGTGGAATCACTGCTTGAAATTTCTGGATGTTCTGACAAAGAAGAAACTATGAATGCCGTTGCTAAGCAGCTAGATTTCCAGCCTTTAKCTCTCGCATGTGCAGCAGTTTACGTCCAGGAAGTCCGCATTGCAGATCCTACCATGACATGGGAAAAATACCTTCACCATATCCAAGCAGGCAATATTGAATCAACTGAACGAATGTACAAAGAAATCAACAGCTCATATAAAACTTCAATGACAACAGCTGTAAAGATGGCAGTCCAAAATGTCATAGAGAAAAGTCCAGTAATGCTCCATGCTTTTGAATTCTTGGCTGCTTTGGCTCCGGAGTTCATATCGCTAGATGATGTTGTAAGTTATGTGATGAAATGCATGCCTAACGAAGTCGATAAAAAATTATTGGCAAGAAAGATAATGAAGTCGTCACTCGTTCTTACGTCTGCGGATAAAGTAGAACCAATGATTCGCGTCCATCAAGTTGTATTCAACGTTCTTCAATCAGTAGTCCAAGAATTACACAGCGACGAAGAAGATGAATTGTCGTATTTAACAAAAGTGATTGAAGTGTTTTCATATCTTGACAAAATGGATAAAAACAGCATTGATTACATCAAATGTACAGGAAAACTTGTTGTGCACGTGGTAAGTTTGTCTTACAAAGTAAAAATGTTTTTCGAGCGACGCGAAATTTTGGTTTCGACAGAAAAGGACAAGTATGGAATACGCTACCAAGTAAACAGAACAACTACGAGTCAGTATCTACAAGTAATGACACTATTGAAGAAACGTCTGTGTGACGTTTTGAGAGAACAGAAAAAGTATGATATATGTAGAAGTCTGCTAGAAATATGCATGTCACTTACAATTACAAAATCTGACACTACGAAGAACGAGGTCGACACGAAAACTTCAGACGAGCACATGTACGATGACGACCAAATTAAAAGGCAACAATGGTTCTTTAACGAATTAGGAWTCACATTAKATARCCTTGGTGAATACCGTGAAGCAAAGGAGTGTTATGAAAAATCTCTAAAAATGGCCAGGATGGCCTACGGAAACACTCACACTGAAGTGGCTACAAGTTTAAATAACTTAGGAATATTGCTGTTTCACCTAAACAAATTTGTAGAAGCCAAGGAATATTTAGAAAAAGCGATCGCTATCAACAAAAGCATGTACGGAGACAAAAACCCTCATGTGGCTGCAAGTTTAAGTAATCTAGGATCAGCATTGAGTGATCTTGGAAGTTACAAAGAAGCAAAGGAGTATTACGAAAAAGCACTTGCCATCTACAAAAGCACGTACGGAGACAATCACCCTCATGTGGCTACAAGTTTAAGTAATCTAGGATCAGCATTGAGTAATCTTGGAAATTACAAAGAAGCAAAGGAGTATTACGAAAAAGCACTTGCAATAGAAAAAAGCACGTACAGAGACAATCACCCTTCAGTGGCTACACATCTGGTTAATATTGGAGGAGTATTGAGAGACATTGGAGAATATAAAAAATCAGTGGAGTGTATAGAAAGAGCAATAACTATTCATAAATCAGTTTTTGACAAAACCCATCCTTATATAGGAATTTTCTTTTATAAACTGGGCCTTTCACTGCATGCTTTGTGCATCAACGAGGAAGCCAAAGATTCCTTTGAAAATTCACTTACAATCCTTGAAGCTGCATATGGTGAAGACSATCCACGAGTAGCAAGRACATTAAATGGCCTGGGAGAACTCCAGCTGGAAMAGGGAGATAACGAACTAGCCAAACTGAATTTKGAAAGAGCATTAGCTATCAATGAAAAATCATTAGGTGCACTTCATCCTGATTTTGCTATGACYCTGAACAACCTTGGAAAACTCTCTGAAARTCTTAATGAATAYGAACAAGCCAAAGCCTACTTTGAAAGAGCACKGAAAATCAACGAARAAGCATTAMRTGGAAGCCATCCTAAARTTGCSATTACTTTAAACAACCTTGGACATCTCTTGRTYAAACTGRAGRAAGATGAAGAAGGGAGACATTGCTTGGAAAGAGCTGCTGCTATCAAGGGAAAGAATCCAGATTACGCGTTTAAGTTTTAAATGACTTATTATGGCAATGTTACCATCATAATCCAMAAAGTAATYAACWTTTAGATGTTGCAATTTCACTTGTTGCTGGTAAAAAATTATATTGAAAACAATAGGGTTCCCTACAACAGAATAARCAGCCAGTTGTACTCTCTGTYATGTGGAGAGCGATATCTCTCAGAAGARTTCATAAATCTACTTGTGASCTRTTACTCTGACATAGCAAACAGAAGTACTGACAAATGCAGAAATATTCTTCTAAATTCATTTCTTTCGACGGGATATGTGTCTGAAAGCCTTGTACAGTTTGGTTGAGACGAGATTCTTGCCTGTGCATATGGATTTTTGTTATTCGGGGCCGTCTTTAGAATCCATAACACCATTT